ATTACAGACAATGCGGTTACTTTGAACTTGGTAACATTAGTACGCAAATAGTAAACGATATATTTTTAATTCACATTGGAATATCTTTCATTTCCCGTTATCACAAAAATATCTTTTATTATTAAAAAAGGTAATTAAATAAAAAAATAAGTAAGAAATTAAACTAGCAAAAAGCTTTCGATTAAATTAAATTACTACTATAAATAATTATTTATAACATATTCACTAATATTGTTAATAATACATATCACCGCCCATAATTAATAAAATTATAAAATATAACGATAATTATTGTTCGACAATTTAATGCTATCCTGAGAATCCAAAAACGGTACCTTCTACTTTACCAACAGTATCTGTTAATCCAGAGTTTGTTTCTCCATTGGCAAGATCATTTACTTTAATTCCGAGTTGACCTGTAGCTCCATCGACAGTATTTGTTACTTGCTCCACTGAACGACGTTTTAAGCCACCAGTTTTAACGTTTACAGCAACTCCTTTACCAGTGTCTGCTGATCCAGAGTTTGTTACTCCATTGGCAAGATCATTTGCTTTAATTCCGAGTTGACTTGTAACTCCATCGACAGTAGTTTTTACTTCATTCAATGAACGATGCTCAACCGATAATTTTACGCCAGCAGCTTTAACGCTTACAGAAGTTCCTTTAGCAGTACCTGTTACTTTATCACCAGTATCTGTTGCTTTATTATTACCAGTATCTGTTACTTGATTGGCAGTACCTGTTACTTGATCGACAGGAACTCCACTGGCAACATCATTTGCGTTACTACCGGGTGCGCTAGCGGAAGCACCAATTGCGGCGCCATTACCGACTGGAGCGGCGTGGGAGATTGAAGTGAATGCCAAGAGGAGCAAAGCAGAAGCAAAAGTGATCTTCATTGTTACTATTTATATGTGTCTTGTATAATGATAATATGATGGAAAGGGAATTTTAATATTGCTGTTCGGTAATAGTTAAAATAGCGTGAATGTATAAAGTTTGTTCGAAAAAGAAGTAAAGAATATAAAGAGTTATATCAGATTGTGAAGATGTAATAAATAAATGTTTTTTCGAGTTGATTTTTTCAAGATGCGCGGCATCCATTTTTATATTCAATTTGCCAAGGATTCGAAGGATTCGAAGTCGCGAGATATGTATTAAATTCTTACTTTTGCATCATGTTAGCATTAATTTAATTTTTTTGTGTACGATTATTACCATAATGTATACATGTGCATGGACTTGTATGTACGTAGTGTTGTCATGGTAGAAGTACTGTAGTACGAGATCTGTATGTAATCAGTGTTGGGCACTGCAATCTATTGGACCAACCAACTGAACTAACCAATCAAAATATACTATTTAACATATTACATGTATATCGATCAAAAATTGTAAATACTGTACTGGACTTAGTCCAGTGTGTTAAATTTTGCAATGTATGCACGCACGCGCGTCTGCTCGATTTTAAATTCTTTAAATGCAATGACGTATTTTAGTAATGCCAAGCGTAGATAAATTTATGCATTTAATATAATCGATCGTCCGTTATACATGCATATAAACATGCATGCGTCCATATTGAAATACATGTACATATTTAGTGAATAGAGAAAATTATTACGTATACGTACGTATTTAGTTATACGTATATAGATTTTGTAAATTTACTATCGCGTGTCGATCACAGTTAATAAAAGTGAAGATTTCTGATTGATGTGTGATTGATAAGTAATGCTAATTGAGATTTCGAATTAAATCGTGTTGCCGTAGTATAGTCGTGGTGTAGTAAATTAATATTAAAAAAGATATATATCACAGTTCAATCGCAGTACAATCGTGGTATAATTATATCTATGAATTTATCAACTGGTATTTTCATGACATGTATTTTGACTGAAATCAAAACTTACTTTGACACATCATGCATTTCTTATATCATTGTAATCAAAGTTTATTAGAATAAAAGAATATATTTGATAGTGTGGTTCTGGATTTTTTCTAATGAATTATTAACTACTGAAAAATGAGTACTAATGAACAGCTTTGCGTTTTAATAAATGAAAAAGAAAATAATTATAAATATCATGATCTTATTGGAAATGGAAAATGAAATTTTTGGAAGAATGTTGCATCTGAAATAAATCTTCGTTTTGGACAAATTACTCAGGTTTTTATTGTAGCGAAAAATTCCAAAGTCTCATACGTGAACATAAAGTAAGAAAAAAATACAAGTAAAAAATTCTATACTCTGTACATTCACCTATATTATAGCGTATAGTATTTCTTCAGCACCCGCCAGCTCATATCAAAACTCTTTTCTATATAGAGCTAGAGATTTTGTGTTCTGCAAAGCGTTAATTCCATTCATGAACCAATTCATATATTATTATTATTAGTTGATGTGTTTATACATTGATGGGAAGCCTAAAGGAAAAAGGAGCAGAAACGGGACCAGACATTATGAAGAATTTCAGTCTCGCTTAACATCGTTAAGTGCCTGTCCCAGACAAGACTCGACGCCTTGCTTTGTAAGTTATTATTTTAAATTACACAATACTACTTTTAGTCACTGAATATGATCGAATGCCAAGCAGATTTAGTAAGAAATCAGACTCTATCAACTTCTTATGAAGAAATAATGCTGAAAATAGGGGTGGAGATAATACAAATCTGAAAAATGAAAATAGAGATGAAAATAATTAATGGACTGGTTAATTGTTTTGAATATTTGTAATTTTTAGATTCTGTAATTTATTTTTTCCTGTATCAAACGTGACATTTTTGCTCACCTTGCTAAATAGATTTGTAATTGTATCATATAAATCATAACCAACGTGTTAGAAAAGAAGAACCACAGGTTCGATGCCATGGTTAAATGGCTCAACACTCCGTGTTTCGTTCGGCATCATTTGGAAATGAAGTCTTCTCTTGGCGAGGGAGGTAAATTGACTTGCTAAAAAATTTCCGAGTGTGCTTGAAGTCTGACTGTGGGATTTATACACGTGAATTATGATGGGTGCAGATACATGTACATGTATCTAGATCATCTTGTGACAGCGAAAATTTGTCGGTGTTACTGGTACGTAGTTGCATAAGTCGGATACAAGTCACCAGACATGGACATCGTCATTATGTTATGTAGGTAAAGCAATCTTTTTGCAAGTGAGAAAGCTGGTTTAATAATTTAAAAACGTTGATGGCAACCGATTTTACGATCCACACTGACGATCGCTAAAAACACGAACGAGTATTTTATCGAACGTAATGACCATGTATTAATGATAGAAAATCAGAAATCACTGTCACTGCAAGGATTCAAATAAGAACATTATCCTCCAATCACAAGACTTTTTTGTCTTATATATTGAGGAAAATATCGATATTAAGTCTGAGATTTGACTTAAAATTTCACCAGATGCGGAGCTTAAGTTTTGGACAAAAATAAAGTGCAGCGAAATCTCAGAATAGTGATAACGATAATCATGTAGAGATATTGCTCTTGAGACAATTTGAGTTTAATTAAATTTGTTTCAATGCTTATGATAATGAGTAAACTATTTAATTTTTAGTTTATAATATCAAAAGTAAATGACCTTTCAGGCCAAAATTTTTCAGCAAAATTATTACATATACATGTATTAGAATATTCGGTATGACAAAATATCTTTAGATCAATAAAGAAGAACGTTTCTTTGTTAGAAAAAAATGGCAACGACTTAAAACTGTTTGTCCATTGCGCAATGGCCAAAAGCGGTTCTATTTTTAAAACACATATAGTTCTATTTATCAAAATTCATTTATTATATCATTGTTACTTTCTTGCAATTGTTAATATAGTTTATTCAACTCCGTAGTTTATATTGATTTTCGTTTTTCACGTACGCTTAAGAAACTGTTATTTTACTTATATGTTTGTTTATTCATGCAATATATCTTTATAGCATATTGATAACGTGTGTCATTTTTGTCTAGAACATGCTTTTGTTACATTGTGTGTATGGTTTTCTATTTAATATCTCTGGACTGATATAAAGAAACACTCCATAAATTTTCATCTGCTAGGCTGGTAATCCCAAAATCAGCTATGAGAAGCATCAATATTTAATAATATATTTTCAGAATACACAAGTTCCTCTGTGTGAATTTTAACCAACTTTCGCTCTCCGATAATATAAATTGAATGACTTAATTTTTCTTTCCAAGTCAATTCTTCGCAATTGGTAGTAATATATTTGTGCAAATAGCCATTTTTATACTCATTACATCAAATATTCATTCGTGCTGGGTGGGTTTTTAGTTATTCTATCCCTTAAACCATCAGGTTTAGCAGGCAAATTTGCCTGCTAAAATTCCATAAATTTATATCTATGTAGTTTTACCAAAATTAAAATATTTTAAAAAAAGTTTGTTTAAGATTAGCTTTAATTGTATATTATATAATAGTTGGTTTCACTTTTTTAATAATTATAAAAAAAGCAATTTAAAAATTGATATTATTAATCTTATATTTTATAATAAAATTACAGAATTGATTACAAAATAAATTAAAATTACAAATTTTATATTATATTGATTAAAAATATGTTATATCTTAGTTTAGAAAAAGGGGGTTAAGCTTATAAAAATCAGGCGTAAATGTACAAAAATATGCTAAAAAAAATTCAGCGTGCAAATTTGCCTATAAGGAAAATAATTTATTCCGAAGTAAGATCACCGAACTTTAGAGTCCGAATCTATTTTAGCTATTAGAAAAAATCAACGTACTTTTTAGAATATCGATATGCATGTACATATGTTCATGTATTGAGTGTTGTTACATTCGTAACACCGTTTTGGCGATCCTCTTAATTCGAAAGGATCGGTTTGGGCCGTGTTATAGGTCAAATATGTTCTTTTGTGTCCTCTCAATTAAGTGCCCTATATTTACACCCCGCATATCTCTCTTTGATAATCCGTCTGATATTCTTTTTCATTTTTGTCACGATTTTCATTTTCAGCACGGTTTTCTCTCTTTTTGT